GGACTAACGGAGTGCCAAGGTGCAGATGGTGGTACTTATGTGAGGCATTGGTTCCTCAAGCCATATATATATTTGTGGCTAGGTGAGTGTTTCATAGATTTGAGTTCACACGTGACTCCTTCCTCTGAGATTTTCCATCAAGTGACTAGCAGGCAGTTTAATGACGGCGTATTCAGAAACCATCTAGACAGTAAGCTCACCCTCCCTGGTGTATAGATGACAGGTTTTTAGAAACAGAGCTGAGCTAGATGACTAAAATGAAGTTTCTGGTTTTTCAGGGATTGGTCTAGGAAGGTGAGAATGAAAGAAATGGCACTCCAGAAAACAGAAAGCATAGAGATGACATTTTGGAAAGACAAAGGGCATTTAAGGGAGAAGGCAAGGAACGTTGGCAAAGACAAACGGGAATAGCTTGCAGAGAGTGAAGAATGATTTTGCTCAAATGGATATCTTAGATTTCTAGAAGGTGAGGCTTGAAAGATGCAATGGATATTATACACCTCCATCCCTTAAAAGTACTGCTTAAAAAAACCCATGAGGCCTCCCAAATCCATCTTTTGTCTCTCTGTTCTACTGAAAGGCTGTCGGGATGTATACTAAGAACTGTGGGAAACAGTGTAGTACAAGACAAACTGATCTGCCTTGGAAGAAATATGGCCAGAGTGCTCCTTAGAGGCAAGGATGGCGAGACGATCTCATGTACTTTGGACCAGTTGTCAGGAGAGACCAATCTCTGGAGAAGGACATCATGCCGGGAAAATCAGGCAGCGGAAAAGAGGAAGGCCCTCCACCGAGATGGATTGACACAATGCCTGCAACAATGTTGCAGGTGTTTCCTTCTGCTGTGGACAGGGTTGTTATGGGTGGAGCCAACTCGCTGGTACCTAACAACAACAACAGGATAAAAAGATGTATAAGTGATTACTGTATGGTAACAGTGGGCTGACAAATGTGTTGTCTCAATTAATTCTCATAATGACTATTTTAGGGACTATCCAAAATAGCTACCCTATTTTGCAGGTAATTCTTCAGAGAGATTAAATCACTAGCTCAAGTGGCATTATCAAAGTTTGAACTTGGATCCGGCAGTGGAGCCTGTTCATACCTGTGACGTCATAGTGCCTTTCACTATATTAGGCAAAAAACCTAGCATGTTTCCCCAAACATGTAAATGAACGTATCTATGATGTTCAGAGAACAAGAAAATGACATGCAGTCAGGTAGAAGACAGGATTGGTAGGTAGGTCTGTTGGAGATGGTAGTCTTGTTGGTAATGGTCTCAGGGGCAGTGGATTTCCACGGATATTCATTGAGGGAAAGATGGTTTGTGTGGAGGACACAGCAGAGAGAAAGAAACATTCTTGGGGCAGGTATAAGCCAACCCAAGCCATTGCCACCAAGCGAATGCCGACTTACAGGGACGTGAGGAGGGTTTCTGAGACTGTATATCTTTCTGGGATTACACAGCCTCACATGACTGGTGGGGTTGAACCACTGAACTGGTAGTTCGGAGTTTAATACCTACCTGAAGTGCCACTCGGGTACCTTTGAACAGGTATGGAAAGTGATAGATTGGTAGGAGTGAACGAATTAAGGTTAGATTGCTAAATTGGGGCCATGCTGCAAAAAGCTTTGGTTAGATTTTGTACTTAATTTAGTAAATAGCCTAATTTAAATGTTCTCAGGGTGAAAAATTGAAAAAAAAGAAGGCAGAATTCATTGAGAATGAATGATCCTATATAAAGGATACACACACACACACACATATATACACATCACATATATATTGTCTTACTATCACAAAAATATTAATGTCTCCATTGTAGTTGCCATTTTCTTTGCCACATTTGCCTTTACACATTTTATAATCTCTTTATGATGAAACTTATAGGCGAACGTTCTAGTACGCCTTGAGTGTTCATAGTGTATTTTAATGTGATGGCTCTATTTTGCAGCACTTTACTGTTTCTGGAGGGAGACATAAATCAAAAGAGGAGCATGCTCCTGAAAGTTGAAAGATACCATTTTTGTACCAATCATGGGATGAATTCAAGAATAGTTGGTTTCAAAGGTTACCACTGATTCGTCTTTTTTTTAAATCGTTTTATTAGGGGCTCATACGACTCTTATCACAAT